CCGCTCCCGTCCCCTCAGTCCCTCCCCTCGCTGCTGCTGCTGCTGCTGGGTCCCTTGTTGTGAGGAGGAGGAGGAGGCGGCGGGCCGCGCCGCATCCCCTCAGACACTCCCTTGTCGGGCCCGGCGGCGGCCCTTCCCCTCACCAAACTGTCACACCCAACAACAACACGCAGCAGAAAAGGCGACCCCGCCGGCGAGCGGGAGCGAGAGCCGGGCCTGCCCTTTCAGCCCAGCGTGCGGCTACCGCTCCCTCGCCTGTGGCGGCGGCGGCGCGGAGGAGGAGGAGGAGGAGGCCAGGCCCCGCTCGCGGCTCATCGCCTCACGGAGCCCGGCCGGCGGAGAAGCGGCGGCGGCGGCTTTCCCGGAGTGAGGCGGAGCATCGAGCCGGCCTCCCTTCCCTTCGCCGCTCCCCGGCGGGCCGACACCGCGCATTGCGCTCGGTCCCCCCCCTCCCTCGTGCGCGCACACCCGCCAGTCACCCGGGTTCACGCACACAAAGCGGCCGCCTGTATAGCATGCCTCCGTGTGTGTGTGAGTGTGCCTGTGCAAGTGGGGCTGTGTGTGCAGAGACGAACGGCAAGAAAGCCGCGAGGACAGCGGCGAGGAAAGGAGGCGAGCGTTTGAGAGAGGGAACTGGGAACGGGCCTGCGCCCTGGAGGGAAGGAAGGTCGCTTCGGGAAAAGGAAGGCGGGCGGGACGCGAGAGGAGACTCATGCCTCGGCGGGGCCCCACAGAGACGTGCTCCTGTACGATGTGGATGCAAAACAGCGGCCATGGAGGGATCCGGATGCCTGATAATGATGAGGCCAAGAGAGGAAGAAGCCGCGCTCGTCTACGGCAGTCAATAAACCAGGAGTGCAGCGACCCCTTCAAGAGGAGCACGGTTTATTCCAGCAGAAGCATTCCTGTCTCAGAGGCACAGAGGGAGGCTTCTGTCAGTCAGCCTTTCCTCACCCACTTTACCGAAATGCACTAAAGGCAGGCAGGCAGGCAGGCAGGCAGGTCTCAGTCAGCCTTTCCTCACCCGCTTTACCGAAATGCACTAAAGGCAGGCAAGCCTACCTCCCATGCCAAGATGGAACCAACCCGGTCCCTCCCGCCTACCTCCCGTGCCAAGATGGAACCAACCCGGTCCCTCCTAAGCGTCGCAAGCGCCAGCAGCAGTCGGCCAGGGGTCGAACTCTTCTCCCTTCAGCCAGCTCCTCTCGTGGTGCAAACGCAAGAATCCGAGGCCATATGGGAAGAAGGTAATTCGCACCTTCTCCCTTCTGGAGTTAAACACCTCTGCAAGACACCTGTCTGACAGGCACATTCGGTTGCTTTCCATAGAGGTGCCAAGTAAAACCATCCCCTCCCCTATTAGAAAAAAAAGTCTTAAAGACCTATCAGTATTATATCTCAACAAGTGCTGCCGCTACTACTTAACACTTATTTAGCACCCACAGCATAATAGGTGCTAAACACCGCATAAGAAACCACCGGGTTCTGCCCAGGGGGCTATTTAGTAGCCCCCCCCCAAGTCAGAATAACCCGCATCTGTGAATAGGCAGTGATAGATCTAACCTCACACAAGCAATCACCTTCCGAGGATCCAAGTCAGGCATTCAAGGGCCAACGTTCCGTAGAGACAGGGGCATATATATGGCCAGCCTTTATAACCAAGGGTTTGTTGGGTGTGGATTCCAGAGCTGTAATCTGTGGGTGTGAACCTACATTTCTGACCTCGTTAGCCCTTTACATTCGCCCCGACGTCAACAAAACCCACGACTCTGCAATACAGTGAGAGGCTGTAGTGCTTTAAAAATATTTTCATCGCAATACATGCACAGATTTAGGCCCCAGCCCCAACCAGACTACATAATACTAGAGAGACAGAACAGGAGGATATGCCATCCATTAAAAGGAATCCATTTAGCGCAATCTCTTTGCAATACCCAGCAAGGATTCTCACCCACACGCCACCATCTCCCACACGCCACCATCTGCAAATGCGAGTGTTTTTAAAAAATCAGCCTCACCTCTCTGTGTGTTATTTATGGAATCCATTTCAGACTACTTGCCCGTAAAACAAGGTGTTGCACGAGCAGACAAAAAGGTACCGACTCCCTGTATGGGTTTGTGGCTAATCCATAGCCCGCTCCCGAAGGCTCATGCCACACGGCCCAGGTGAACGGTGAGAACCCCACGGGAAAGGCGGCGGGTGTGTACCTTCTGCACCGTGGAGCCAGACCATAATTGCCGCCGAGGCCAGAGCTACGACCGCACAGACGCCCCGTCCCCCAATCATCCCTCGGGAAGGGGCGAGGGCTCTCCCGGGCCCTGCTAGCCCGCTCGCTTTCTTACCTAGCCGCCAGGCGGGGCTCATAAGACCGCCTGCCAAGCACAGGGGCCAGCGGCTGACACACACCATCGGCGCCGCTTCCGGATCCAAGCTGTGGCAAAGGCAACGCGCAAGACACGCTCTCCCCGCCTCCAGCGGGAAGCCAATCCTGGCGGGCTTTCTCCTTGATTGACACGATAAAAATAAATAAATGGCTGGGAAGGGGAAAACATTGCTGTGTAGACCAGAGGTCTTCAGGTTAGGGGTGTGAGTGTCAATTTGCATGCTGTGAAAGAGGAGCGAGCTTATTTGGAAAGGCACGGGCCGCGATGGGAGCGAGCGACGCGGAGACCACTCCTGCAGTGCAGTCCTGGAAGTACCCATTGAGTACCGTTGAGGAGGGTTCTAAGTAGACCTGCTTAGGGTGACGCCCGTCAGTGGCTTAGGTTATCCGCTGTCATTTACTTGGAAACCACTCCCATTCATTTCAATGGCATTTATTTCCAAGTGATTTTGTGTAGGATTGCAATGTTAATCTGAGCCAGAGTTCATCCCTGGAACGGGAAAAACCTGTTTAAATGATAATGCAGCCTGGAAGAAGATGAATAATAGGTGCCTTTTGAGCCCGCAGAAGTGATCTGTCCTACATCACACATGCACATCCACAAACCTACCATAAAGCTTGAGATGGGGGGGGGGGGGAATGACATAGAACCAGGCTGTGAAAGAGTTTGGGAATTTTGAAAAACCAGGCTGGGCATATATTGTAGGTATATTCTATCTTCCCTGCACTGCCTAATAAAAAACAAGGAATAGAAGGCCTTCCCCTTTGTATGGAAACCTAACACATTATTTGTCTATAATATTGGTAGAAAAGAGCAGAAGTCCAGTAGCGCCTGACACAAAATATGTGGCAGGTTATGATGTTTCATGAGTCACAGCTCACTTCTTCAGATACAGCTAGAATGTGAGTCCATCTATCCTATATTTTGGAGAATGGAGTGATTTCAGATGTGGAATTATATTAGCAGGCAGATTACAATAGGTGAATGACAACTGAAGGCGTGATTGAATTAGGTGTGATATGCAGAGTGGAGAAATCAGCATTGGTAATGAGACAGGAGACTTAGGTCTCGATTCAGTCCAGGAGGATGCATTGTCTTGCGCTTCATTAGCAGTTACAATTCAGCAGTCTCTCTTTCTAATCTCCCTTTGAAATTCCTTTGTAAGAGAACTGCTACTCTTAGGTCAGCAACTGAATGTCCTGGAAGGTTAAAATGTCCCTCCACTGGTTTTTGAATGTTGTGGTTTCTAATGTCAGATTTATCTCCATTTATTCTTTGTTGTAGGGACTGACCTGTTTGTCCAATGTAGAGGGTGGAAGGGCATTGCTGACATGTGATGGCATAAATCACGTGATGGCCAGTCTCCTCCTGACACCTGCAACAGTTAGCATATCCTTAGCACCTGGAATTGTCATGCATCCTGCATCAACACATATCAACTGCCATATCTTACCTCCAGGAGCGCTATCAAGAACCACTCAGTACTTTGATCTCCCTCTGGGAAAACCATTAACCATTTGTCCAGATTTCTGGGAACCTTCCTGTAAACACATTTAACTATTGTTTTAGGGGCAAATCTGTCATATTGCCTGAAGGTACATTTTT